CTTTAAGACTGCTCTGGATAGCCCTAGCCAGTTTGGCTCAGTGGATACAATGGGACTGAAGGGTCCCAGGTTAGATTCTGGCCAAGGGCACATGCCTGGATCGTGGGCTCGATCCCCAGTGTGGGGTGGGCAGGAGGCAGCCAATCAATGATTCTCTCTCATCGATGATGTCTCTCTCTCTCTCTCTCTCTCCCCCTTCCTCTCTGAAATCAATAAAAATATATTTTTAAAAAAACCAAAAGACTGCCCTGGAAAGAAGGCCTTATTATTCCCTTCCATGTATGACTTTTCATAAGAAAATATGCAGGGTGGGGCAAAAATAGGTTTACAGTTGTACATTTGGAAAATCTATCTAATAATAGGGTAATATACAAATTGGCTGGGACACCATCATAGTAACGACCAATCAGCAGGCTGTGTGCACAGCAGGAGTGGGCGTGCAAGGCCTTGCAGCATTGGGGACGGGGGCAGAGCCGGGGCAGAGGCCTCCATCTCCGTGTGCCTGCACCGGGGGTTAGGCAGCATGCACAGAGAGGGAGGCCTCCGCCGTGGACCCACACCCGGGGGTCCGCAGGCCTCCGCTGTGTCTCGGCCCGGGATCCGCAGGTCTCCCCTGGCTCCAGCCTACCTCTTTGGGACAATCTATCGAGGAGCCCTGGATGGGTGGGCAAGGCCTACCTTTATAGGGCAATGGATTGCGGGGCTCCTGCACTGTGACAGGGCACAGGCCAGGCTGGGGGACTCCCCCAACCCCCTCCCCCCCCAGTACACAATTTTCATCCACTGGGCCACTAGTAATATAATAACCCTTTGAGTGCCAGGGAGCGCCATTGCGCTCCTCCTGTCTTTCGCAGGAAACGCTATCGGCAATTTTTTCTCCTACTAGTATTTTATAATACAATCAGCAAACAATATATGTCAAAGATGAAAACAAATGTAGTAAAGGTTTCCTTAAGTTTTTGAATATGTAACTTTAAGCCTACTTTCCCCCCCCCGCTCTGTATACACAATATATTTCATATCTTAAAGTTTAACCTGTTGTGTAAGTGGTTTCCAGCTCCTACTCCGTTAGACACAGCTGGTAGATTTTGTAATTTACACAGGCTACAAGCTCTGCATTTGCAAATGTGTATGTCCACCTCTTGATGATAGTCATTGACCAAATCCCATGCACAGGAAGACATTTCGGGGGCATTCAGTTCCATATTATCTTTTTTTTTTAATTGCTTAAAGTATTACAAAGGGTATTACATATGTCTCCTTTTCCCTCCCACCCTTGACGATCCCCTGGCCTCCCCTACCCCGCACTGTCTTATATCCATTGGTTATGCTTATATGCATGCATATAATTCCTTCGGATATTATCTTTTTAAAAATACATAAAAAAATCAATAAAATATATATTTTTAAAAAATACATCTTATGTTGGGGATTACCTTCATTTTGTGCATTCATTTGTTCTTGTGGAAGCTGATATGGTATGAGTAGTCATGTACATGTTTATGCAAAAATATTTATTGAAGTGATTCCATTAGTATTGTGTTCTAATACTTGATGAATGAACTTCATTTTTAAAACTTTATTTTTTTTAACTGCACGACTAGAAAACCAGGAAATGTTCTCCCCCGCCTTTTTTAAAAAAACACCAAAAACTAATTTTTTATTGTAAAGTATTTGTAATACTGTAAAGGTGAATCCTATACATGTTCAATAAATATCATATCGTAAAGTTTTAAAAAATATATTTCACTGCTAAGCACTAGTAGTAAGCATCTGAGCTTGCTAGAAACATGGTGGCACTAGACCTGCTGAATGCAGGGTTGCCAAAAACATGGAATTTATAAGAAAAGGGATGTGGGGGAGCAATATCTGCAAAGCACAATTAAGCGCATGCAAAAATATGTGTTCCTGTATATAGTAAGCAATCCTATATAATAAAAGCTTAATATGCTCAGTATCTGACTGTTCATTTGACTTTTCCACCAGTCACTATGACATTTACTAATCACCAGGGGGCAGACACTCCGTTTGGTAGGTTAGCTTGCTGCTGGGATCTGGCTGATCGGGACTGGGCAAGATGGGCTGGACATGCCCTGGAGCCCATCCTCGGTTTCTCCCGGGCCCCAATCGTGCAGTGGTGGGGTCCCTCGGCCTGGCCTGCGCCCTCTCACATTCTGGGACCCCTTCTGGCATCCCTCAGGGGATGTCCGTAGGCCAGGCCTATGGACCCCACTGGTGCACGAATCCATGCACCAGGTCTCCAGTTAATATATAAAATATACAAGGTATTCAAAAGACTCTTTAACCAAAAAACATAGTTAATAAGCAAGATAAGGATGTAGAAACAATTCTACAAAAAATAGGTATAAATGACCAACAGGAATATAGAAAATGCTTTCCTCACTGAAAGAGGTAGTAGAAACCCTCAGGCTTCCAGCAACACTACCAACCACAAGTCCTTCCCTGTGAGTTTAGTACAGCGGGGAGTATTGGGACTTCAGGAATAGAAGGGAGCAGGGAAAACAGACCAACCCTCCCCAGGACAGCAGCTACCCAGAAAATGGGAAAAGCAAGCAGTACCATCTACAGGGGACAGAGCAAACCCTAGGACAACCATGTCAAACTCGGCCCGCGGTCCTCATGCAACCCACAAAGGATATTTTTGCGAACAAAGTAAATATAACCGTATGTAAGAAACATTTTAATAAAAATTTTGTAACTTAATTTTTACAATATCCTGTTATACATAATTATTATTAACGAACTAGAACCTTTGCTAATGAGTGACTAATTGTGTTGCATTCATTTCTCTACTCAGCTTAAATGCAGGTGCACCATTTCTCTCCACTAACAGTAGCAGCGAATACTTTAGCAGCCTATTGCCATATCATTAGCCTTGCACTGACTTGTTTTGTATGCAAAACAGGAAATATTTCGCTTTCAGAGAATAAGAAAAATAGGTTTATTTGCGTTACACTTATTAATTTGTGCAGTTATTCAGTGATAAATTAATGTTCAAGAAAAAATATGAATTTTTATTGAAATGTTCTAATATTTTATGTTAAAGATTACAGATTAATTTCAGCCTTTGTATTCAGCATGTATCTATCAAAATAAACCTATACTTCTATGAAAAATGTATCTATTGTTTTTTTGCGGCCCATATAAACTTAAACCTTGTTTACTTAGACCGTGTTAGCCTTTGAGTTTGACATGCTTGCCCTAGGAGATGGGGCCTAGGAAATCGCAAAGCCAAGTCCAGATCACTGGTGACAGTGAAGGTCTTACCCAGTGAGGATATAAGTTCAAAATTCTCCAGCATCACATTCAGGTACAGCTGTCTCTGACCCTCATCAAGGAGGCTCCATTCCTCCCTGGAGAAGTACAGGGCAATGTCCTCCAAGGTCACGCCAACCTGTCAGAATGGAGACAAAACCAAAGCTGCCTTTTTTTCTTTTTAAAATATTTTACTGATTTTTTACAGAGAGGAAGGGAGAGAGTTAGAAACATCAATCAG